GTTTGTGAAAGGGGAAAAAAAAAAAAAAAATAAAAAAAAATAAATAAATAAATAAATAAATAAATCATAATTCATAATTTATTTATGCATATATAGATTTATTTATTTATTTATTTATTTATTTTATTTTTATTTTTTTTTTCCCCTTTCACAAACACGCGCCTTGAGTATCTTAACCAGATAGAAAGGTGCTATGTAAGTTCAATTCAATTCAGTTGATTTATAAAGCACCAAATCTCAACAAAGTTGTCTCGGGGCACTTTACAGGAACATTCACATACATAAAAGCCAATTAGTAAAGTTCTCTATCTAAGTGCAGTCCATTTACCATTAACTTTCAGTAGCAGGCGATAATTAGAACACTACAGAACAATTAATCCATAAAATATGCACACCAACATTTTACAAATGTGAAATAAAAGTAGCAATAAGATTTCAGTCTTTGTTTTACTTGGCTTTTAATTCTCAGTAGAGGTTTCAAAGAAGAATAAGTGTGTTACTGGAGTTTGTTGTGTCCCTTCCCTCCAATTTAGAGTACAACGACTTTGCCAACCCTTTGGTGTGTGCTGTGTTTGTTGCCCTGTGCCCCTTGTGGGTGCTGATAGCCAGAAAGATCCCTTCTACCAGAGAAGTCCTCTACTCCGGCTGGGAGCCCGTCATCATCGCCATGGCCATCAGCAGGTTGGACAACAGACTCTATGAATTGTTCATGACCTCAAAACGATCTCTTTTTCATTCAACCTGTATTTATACAAGCTAGTTCCCATTGAGCCTCAATGACTCATTTACAAGAGAAACCTGTTAAGAGTGAACATCTTAAACATGTAAAGGATGGATTGGAGTCATAACAAGAATTACCTGACAGAATTGTTCCTCACTTTCAGTGTTGGAGGTCTGATCCTAGACAAGACCGTCACCAACCCAAACTTTGCTGGCATGGCTGTCTTCACACCAGTCATCAACGGTGAGGAACCTTTCACTGCAATGAGCAAGATTTCAACTTGATCACATTTAGACCGGCTTTAAAAAAGGGGCCTCACACACTCACACACATAGATTTTCGTCTGCATATCCCCACCAGTTGCTATTAAAGCACTGCCATATAACTCTCTCTGTGTGTACAATTACCAGGTGTAGGAGGAAATCTGGTGGCAGTTCAGGCCAGTCGGATCTCTACCTATCTCCACATGAATGGTCTGCCTATGGGGGATCCCAACCCTGCTCCTAGAAAATGTCCAACACCCTGCTATTCCTTTTTTGGCTCCAGTAAGTCAACCCGTACGAGTGGAGTGTTCCACACTTTGTGTACATTCCTTTCCTCATAAAGTAGATGAGTACCTTGTAGGTACCAAAGAAATACTAGAGGTAATTTTTCTCTGCTTACATGGTCTATGTATTTTTAGGTAGGTACCTGTAAAATACCTATGTACCCAATAAGTACCAAGTAAGTACCTGGTTGTACCTGGGAATTATCATGCTCTTACCTGATAAGTACCTGTAAAGTACCTGAAATGTTCCAAGTGCCTGATAAATTTCATCTTGTCACTCAAAAAACTGCCTTTAATTATTTAACAAGTTTCCTCCACTGATGAAATCCCAAAAATTCTATCTTTGGCAACAAGCTGTATTTATAGGAAGCTACAAGCTCAAAGAACAGAAGAAATGCACACGTACGCAGACGATGAGCTCTCCCTCATCATGTTCAGCTCAGTTCTTGCCTCATTAACCTTCTATCACTGACGATAGTCCAAACTGAGCAAACACACCTCAGCCTGAAAGTCTATGTTCACAAATCACAATAAGAAATTAGCAAAACAACTCATAACTAGCTCTGAAAATATAAAGGTCATGGATCAATTCTAAAACGTCTTACTTTGGATGAACCTCACGCTTCAACGCATCAAGTCTAAACCGGCTCATCTGAGCCTGAAGACACTTCCTCATCCTCTTATTTCTCCTCTGTCTCACTCGAGCTGCAGTTACTCCCTGTGCCGTCGTCTTGCCTTTTGTTAGTTAACCGTGCACACATGCACCATATCACAGGAGAGCTGGTGATGACAAGCTCACGCTGCGCTTCTTCTTTGATTTCTGTTTTAAAGGCGGCGCGCTCGGCTCGTTTTCTTCTTCTCTGTCTGGAACATGAACAGCAGCGCCAGCAGCTACAGTAACAGCTGCTGTTGTGCACAACTCACTCATGCTTTCCACCTGGCTACTGTAATATCAGTGTACACAACTTTCTTTTGTCTCATTCGTAAAACACTAAAATTGGGGACATGTCTGGAGACCGCTTTAGCCGGGGACAGGTCGTCCAAAACGGGGACAGTCCCCAGAAATCAGGGACGTGTGGTCACCCCATCATAGTTTAAACTGTTGTTGACAACAAAAAACTTTACTAACTTTATTTGTACTCAATTCCAGATCATTTGTCTTTCAGTTAAATTAATAATCAGTCAAGTTTGATTCTGTATTTACAAAAACCAATAATTCAGGAAGTTTTCACCAACATATTTTATACACGTGCAAAAGCCATGTGCTCTTTTTCATTCAGTCAACCTTTATTCTACAGGTCGGTCTCATTGAGCCTCGAGGACTCACTCACAAGAGAGACCTGATTTTAACAAATAACGATGACAACAATAAAAGAAAACATGAATTTTTATGGCCTGGGACCCCCCCCCCCCCCCCCCCACACACACACACACACACACACACACACACCTACAGATCCACTTACTTAACTCATATGTTTCACTTCATCATGTAGGGCATAAACCTGATGTACTGAGCACAGCTGGACTCGACTGTTGCCAGATACGGACCAACAGCCAGGACACAGCTAAAAGCACAAGCTGATAACCTACGTTGTCATCATTTTGGACTAATTGTTATTATTGGTCTACATGTTCTGAGAAAAACACCCCAACACTCATGCTAGAGCACTAACGAGCCCCTTCAGACAATCCAAATGAATGAAATAAGAACAAGAACAAGCCAGTGCCAGGTCATTAGCTCAGGTGTTAGCATGCTAACTCATGCAGCTCATTACAAACATCTGTTTCTAAACGTCGACCTTTGAAAGAGAGACCTGCTGCAGCAGTATCTGCAGTCAACCCTACAATGACTGGGGGGGCTAAATGTTGCGTCTCTGCTGTCTTGTGTTGAGATAATTAAACCGTCTGAATGGGTTGACAGATAAATTCAGTGGTTTTTAAACTTCTGGGACATTTTTAACGCTACAATGCCCCAGGCCCTGTAAACACAGTAAAATGTAATGTCATTTTACCTGCGAGCATCAAATACAGCCATGAGCTCAGAGTTGTCCTTCCATCCCTCTATTCCAGCTGTGAACTCTCGTTCTGCTCGTGTGCTCTTCCTCCTGGTTGCACCGGGTCACATCATCTTCCTCTACACCATCAACTCCTTGAGGGGGGGTCACACCACCCTGACACCCATCTTCATCAGCTTCTACCTGGTAGCTGCCCTGCTGCAGGTACATGCACGTCTCAAGCAGAAAATGAACCAGGAGAAATGTCCAACATGTTCACGAGCAGTGGTCAGTGTTTGTGGTGCTGGTGAAGATTCCCAGTGGTTCAGAGTCCGTCACCACAGAAATATCACCAACCTAAAGTTTTATTAAGAACAAACTAACATAGTCACATTTACGTCCATTAAGAACAAGAAGTGTTGTTAGCTCAGCTTGTTCAGTTTGTTTCTCTGTGCCACAGGTCATGATCCTCCTGTACCTGGCAGACTGGATGGTCCACTGGATGTGGGGTCGAGGAATGAACCCTGATAACTTCTCCATCCCGTACCTGACTGCTCTAGGTGACCTCCTGGGGACCGGCTTCCTTGCCCTGTGCTTCCACATGCGCTGGTTCATCGGGGACAGAGACATGAACATGGGCAACTGAACATGTGCAAACATCTGCACAGAGACAGAAAATGGACGATACTGTAAGGTTACGACTGTTGTCTGAGAACTATGAGCCAGTGGACACCTACAATAAAAGGCCTGGTTTCCTGTGTAACTCTAGGTAACGGAGTTCTTAGCGTTACGTTTTTGTTTCAGGATATTAGGATGATCCTTCGCTGCTGACATGGCAGCAGCCCAGGAACTCAGTCCCTGTAGAAACGCACACCTCTCTACATGCAACTCCTCCTCCTTAGTTTTACTAAACAACTGAGTCTTGCCACATTTGTTATTATTAGTATTATTATTATCATTATTATCATTATTATTATTATTATTATTATTATTTTTGACACTGATGATTATTGTTGACAAATGATGCATTAGATATGAAATGATATCTGTGGTACATGCATGGCAAGTCCTCATTATTTTCAATGGGGATGTTAGCCTTTCTGTTTTAAAAACACTTGAACTGGGAGTTGCAAACAGAACTAAATAACTTCCTGGAATGAACTCCCAATCACCAAGTGCTACATGTCACATTACCCCCCCACAGGGAGGGAGTTCCTAAAGCGGGGGAAAGGACGGAGACCACATGATCCCCTGTGTCTGTTGACATGATCTTATTCTGATGAAACTCCCAGAAAGTAATCAGTAGATGCACTCCAACTGTGTCATCCCAATTCAAGATGGAGCCACAGCTACATGACATTAACCAACACACAAAGAGTTACATTTGCAGCCATGGAGCTCAAATTTGGTGTGGCAGTGGCTGATAGTCATACCTAGCAAATACTTAGAACTAACTTTTTTCATGAGATCTTAGCTTAAACATAGCTATTAACTCTTGGAGTCATCTCTGTCTGTCAGCAAAATATCATCTAACCTTGTAGACAGACTTACTGAACGTTCATCTACTGATTACCTTCTGGTATCAACCCAGTCCTAATCCGTTATTAGAGGTGGGCCTTCAGAGATATGATTGTAATTCAGTGCAGTTAACCATGCAAAGCTTGAGTGACCAAAACAGCAACTGTCATTTCACTGCATACGATGGTCCCAGTGGGTGAATACGATGGTCCCAGTGGGTGAATACGATGGTCCCAGTGGGTGAATACGATGGTCCCAGTGGGTGAATACGATGGTTCCAGTGGGTGAATACGATGGTCCCAGTGGGTGAAACGAATCCTGGGCTTTTAATTACAAATTGAAATTTAAATGAATGGAATTAAAATGTATAGTTTAGGAGGGTTACAGTAAAAACACAGTCGTGGTTTAACTACGGGGGACTGACCCGAACAGTTTTGTGGCGTTGAATCTTAAATTCAGTTTGACTCAGAGTCGAACTGTTAATCTGTGAATCAGGGGTGCCCGACACATATCGTGTATCGTGAACTACCGGTCGATCACAAAGGCATTATGGGTAGATCGCATGGCATAAAAAAATAGACGTCAGCCTATCCATCTATGAAATTTGTCTCTTGATTGACAGACAGGCAGCCATTGAGGCCCCGTTTACACGACGTGAAACATTCGGCCGTTCATTCACAGACAACAACCTCGTTCTCTCTGAAACCGAAGGTTTCTGAATCCTGAGGTCTGAAGTTTTTTGTGCTGCTCACCCTTTTTCAGCGTGTAGGAACCAAACAAATAAAATACAGGGTCCAAAAAGACGTCAGTGTATTCACCAGTTTGGATCATGGTCAGGTCTGTGATCAGACAGACACCACATGCACGATGAATGCAGCTGAGCCCTGCATCAGCGTTGCCAGATAAACTTTAAATGTCTTATTTACCCCTCCTTTTCTGTGCACATGTTCAACAAACACAACACACACCTCATCTTAGAATATCTTTACTCAGCACAAATGGAAGTTTAGGTCATACTATCATTTTAGAGCCACAGTACTATAGTTCATAATTTCTTATCTGGCAACCCGACTGCCATGTAAACTACAGCACTTTCATGTAAACCCGCTCATTTTTTGTTTATTACCACCAATAAACGTTGAAAAAACACTCACGTTTCCAGAGTTTGTTCTCGTGTAAACGGGGTCTTGTGGTAGGTAGATCATCTTGACTTGGACATTTTAAAAGAAGCTCCATGCCGAAAATGTGTGGGCACCCCTGTTGTAAATCCTCAGGTCTCCAGTTCTGACATGTCAAATCAGACTCGTTTCTTTAAAGAAATCATTTGGCCATTTGAAATGTGTTGGGTTTTTTTTTTTTTTTGCATAAGCACAACACATTTTGACAACAAAAACTGGGTGAACTGGGTTCATCTTTAGCACGGGTCATTGCAGGAGGCTAAAGGTCCTGGAGATGATTGTTAGGTAGGGGGCAGGCACCAGTGCTCCCAGCCTGAAGCTTTATTCAGCATGTTCTCCACTGGAGCGGGCTGAGTGTTGGCTTTCCCAATCCAGACTTGAGTGAGGGACAAACTGCACAGGAACAAATCCACCAAGTCCACAGCTCTGTGGTCACACCACCACCATGTGTTTATGTGTGGACAAGTGCCTTGCACAGATTGTCCACATGTTCTGTTTTGAGTTCAGCTGGTAGAAGTGTGCGATACTGTGAGCCCGTATATTTATGCCAATGTTGTTCAAACACGGAATTGTTTCGGTGACAGAATGACCAATAATGTGTTTAGGCCCGGAGTGTTCTGATTGATTGTGTTGGTCCTGCTCTGTAGCAGCAAATTTACAACAAATATGAGTACTGCTATAAACTCCACTTCTGACCACTTTAATTTGATTTATTCAGTTTATCCACTGTTAATGCTATCATTTAGTAAAATCTCCTTTTGTACTAATCTTAGAGGAAACCTGTTTGTTGCAACATCCATCATTCGTGCTTTAGTTGCTATAAACCACTAACCAAAATGAAAGTGGTATGTTGACTGTTAAACAGCTAAAATACTCTCAAAAACTTATGGAAACCTTTCATGTCTTTTAGAAGCCAATACTTTTTTTAGCTAACAAGCTAGCTGCAGGCTAACAAGCTAGCAGCAGGCTAACAAGCTAGCAGCAGTGATTCTCTTTATTGGACTCCTCAGCTGAGACGATGTTTAGTCAGAAGGACACAGCAGTGAACAGACTCTGAGAACACGTACGTTTTCTTAATGTCCATTTTCACCGTGCTGTTCTGCTTGCTTCTCTTTACCTCGGATCAGAACTCAGATGTGGGAGTGGTGCAACAGTTGGGATCAGACTGGTGAAGTGTTCAGTAAAGCCAACACGTCACTGGGCTGGACTAGATAATGAACACCATTCATCAGGGAGTCTCCTAAATGTCTCAAATGTTCTCAGTTTCCTTATTGGTTCAGATTGTGTAGATTTTGGCTGCTGGAGTTGTGTTTTGACATCTGTGTAGAAGCTCGCCTAAACACAGAAAACCTCTGAAACTATAGCCCCCAATGTCCACGACTAAAAACTAAAGTCCGGCTGATATATCGGTAGGGCCGATATATCGGTAGGGCTGATATATCAGTAGGGCCGATATTATATCAGTAGGGC